AAAAAAAAAAACAAAAAAACCCTACTTTCCAATGCTCCCATAACAATTTCAGGAAAAGCGCCTACTCTTGGTTAGTGGGGGCGCCTCAGGGGCAGAGATCTCCTCTAGCACGTCCTCATAGGTGTCCAGAACTTTTAAAACCACAAAGGTCAGCGCTCTGTCTCCGTACAGCCCCATTCTTAAGTCCAGCGCAAGACTGAGGACGCGACCGGAGAATCCCCGCCAGACCGCACGGTTTGGTGCGCAGCGGCGAGCGCACGGAGATGCTGTCCAGAGCGCAGCTGTCCCAGAGGCAGCGTACGCTTCGGTGCGCCCTGCCTCCCTTGCGCTTAGCCCGGCGCAGCTCAGCCTGGACAACTTTGGTCATTTGGGTTCTGATCCTGGGCACTGGTTTAGGGACCCGAGAAGTGGCAAGCGGGTGGGCTCGGATTTGCACTCGCAAACCCCTGTTAATCCAGAAAAAGGAGTTTAAGCGCAATTACGTGAGTCAGGGGAGAGAGTTCCCGAGAGCATGTCTAGCAGCCTTCCCAGCTCTAGCAGTGCCAACAGAGGATCGAAGAGAGGGAAGGCCGACATCGACCCGGCTGTTGGGATGAACCCCACTCCGCCCGAGCATGATCGACGCCCCTCCAGGCCCTCTTGACGCCCAACTCCCTCCCCTTGCGTGTCAGAGCCTGCATCGCCCTGGTCCTTGGGGAAGTTCCTAGGAATCACCGCGGAGAGCGGACGAGGTTGGGCTCCCCACGTGAGTCCCAGCAAATGTCACAGGTCACGTCGTGCCAGGGAAGGAGAACAGGGAATGGCTAGGATTGCGGGAAAAACAGTGTCAGGGGCAAACTCCAGCAGGAGGTAATTTTTTTTTTTTTTTGTAGAAGGCATTCAACAGCTGTGCCAGTACAGCTGGACCCAGTTCGCTGATGTCAGGTCTGAGGATAAAAGTTGTGGTGATAACAGGAGTGTTAGAAAGCCTCCGATTCACTGCTGACTTCGAGATGGGCTTTTTTGGAACCCTCCAAGTCTTGGACTAAAGTCATTTCATCATTCTTTGAAAAAGAAGTCCCCCCCCACTTTCCCTATCACCAACTTCTCAGGGTGTTATGGGATGGTGCCAAAGCCTGATTCATACGTTGTGACATCAGAGATGATTCTGGTTAGCAGCTGGACATTGGATAGGCAGACAGGAGCTAGAGATCCAGATTTTTTCACTGGCTTGGGAGATACGGAGGGACAAAGGCAAGGGCATGGAGCTGCATCTGTCTCCCTCATCTCACATGCTTTCTCTTGTCGTGGCTTGCTGTAGGGCCAGGAAGTGTGAGTCCCCACTAGTAACTTCAGCTACGTCTCTTAATTACTGATGGGCAGAGGGATGGGAGAAGGCAGCCACCGCCATTCCACCTGCGTTCTTCTGGAGATGTAACCAAAGCTGCCTCCATTTCTTTGTGTCTTCCTTTAAAACATTGTGTCTATAATCGGTGGCTGTCATGGTAGAGATGAGACAGGCAGGGCGACTGCTCCTCAGGCATCCTGGAAGGCACCTCGTTGTCTGTTAAACACATTGGTGAACATTTGTCCCTATGGCCCCCAGTTTCTTTATCTGTAAATATGTGACCTCTTAGATCACATTGATTATATTACCTTTCTGCTCACAAACTTTTGGTAGACTTGAAGTTGTTTTGAGATTTACAGTTATCCCTCCTTCACTGGCTCCAAGCTGTCTTTCCAGCCTTATTTCCTTCATTTTCGTAGGCTTCTGCCAAACAGTATCTGAGGGTAACATGCTCTAATCGTGCTCTGAGATTTCTTTTTCCCAACCTCACACCCTCAGGTGTTGGATTCTCATGTCATTCAATGTTCATCTAATTTGACATCTCCAAAATTGGACTCCTACCTGGATATGACCTCACTATTCTTAAAGCCATATTTATTTTGGGCTTCCTTCTTATGGCTTTCATAGATTACATAATATTTCAATAGTGTTTTTCCACCTTATCTTTTTATTAGATTGTGAGTTCTTTATAAGTAGGTAATGTTTTATAATAATTTGTTTATTATCTATTTTTTCCAAAAGCATTTGGCACTGAAGCATTTATTATAATAAGGTAAAAACCATTTAAGATGAGAATCAAAGAATAAAGGAGGTCAGGATCAGGTGTAGGGAAGCCCATAGAAAAGCATTATTAAGAATTGGAGAATTAAGACAATTGAGTTCAAAATCAAGTTCTGAGCTTCCAAACAACCAGAACACAGCATAGACTATAACAAGTTCTACTGCATTCAAATTCATTAGGGAAGCCACTTTTTCTTAGGCATGTGGTCATCATCATAACCACAATAGGGCTCAGATTGATGGACTACATGTAATAGATACTCAATGAATCCTCAATAGGTTGAAACATATTAACCTTCTATGAAGATCATTGTCAGGAAGCAAATTATTTTATACTGAGAGGGCCTCTCTATAAAGATTTTTTTTTTCTAGCCCTTTGCTGCCATCTTTCTGGAATCCACTTATGGGCAACTATTCAGGCCAGGGCATTTTTGTGAAAATTCCTGGTGTGCTGAAAAGCTTCTTATTTTTCTCTGTTTTCATTTGTTCAAATGCTAAAGGATGAACAATATCTAGGTGTGTTGTTTGGGAAATTCTAGGTTAGGTCGAGAATGGTGTGTCTTCCATATGGTAGGAAATAGAAGTGAGACCATTTATAGCACTCTGATTACTCAGGGATCTTAGGCAATACTCTCACTCATGAGATGGACCAGAAAATGATCCATGAGATAGCTCTCTTTCTCCTACCCTAGCTAAAAACATATGTCCTCATTTCTTTAATATTTTTATTTCTTGTTTTGATAATAGTTTCCATTCTTTCTTTTATTCCCTTATTCTTTCCTTCCCTCTTTTTAAATTTACTTCTTTCCTCCTTTTCTTTGAACTGTCCTGAATATTTAAAGTAGCCTAGACCTCATGCAAAACTCAGTTTGTGGTTGAAAAGTATTAATAGGTCCAAGTTGCCAAGAAAAATGGCTGGTAGTTTTTAAAATTTATTAAATCATAGAATTATTTGGACTTAAAAAACAGAAAGGATGTAAGAGAGGTTATTGATGAGATGGGGAAGATCTCCTTAAAGGGAGTAAGAAAAGCCAATGATGTCAACTTTAGCTTGGTCATATTTTAGAAAGAATAATAATGGACTTTCCCCAGCAGAAGGATGTCCTTTTGGGCCTGAAAGTAAAGTGTATTACTCTGGATCCTTTAGGATGCTAGTCATATAATCACTCTGCTTCTTGGTTTTCATATCCTTATGCAGAAAGGAAGGGTCACACTTTGCAGAGGTGAACACTGTTTCTTTTTTGATATTTTACTCATTGTTCATAGTTAGGTGTAGTATTTACTTACTGTGAAGTGGCCACTGTATAGTTTGTGACGACTGCAGCATTATGTCCATTTTCCCCAATTCTTTTGCTTTATACATTTGTGCTCCAGCAGCTTTACTGTTAATCTAAGCCATCAATTTGGTTCACCAAACTCCATACTTCTTTTAAGTTCTTCTGGTCAATGGACCAGAAAGTGGAGCAAGGGAGTTTCCTTTGACAAATGTGAAAAATATTTCTTTCATTTTATTTTATTTCCAGGCTGGTGATATCTGCATAATTAGCCTATAGCTGAGGAATGTTGCCATATCTTCTTGAATTAGGGAGTAAAGGAGACTAAATATATTCATGTAAACCTAGTGTTTTCATTCATTTCACTATGAGGAAACAGTCTTACTCTCAGCCAGTTGGGAGTAAAAGAAGATCTGTTTTCCTACAACATAACGGGATGTGTTTGTGGAGAAGATTGTTCACGAAGAATGCAGGAGTTGAGGTTTCTTAGAATGCTTCAAAAAAGCTGTAGAAGAGGTCAGAGCTAAAAAATAGTTCCACCTTAGGATACTTTGTGAGAATATTTATTATGCTGGATATCTTCTATTTTCCACTCTAGGTATACTCTCTGACCTTCCCTATCCTGCTCTGTACCTTGGGAAGCTGTCTATAAAGAACTGCTTCAACAAGCTCCCCTGACATCTAGCTTCTGGTTGGTTTCAGCCAACCAGATCTCTTGCCAGAGATCAGAACATAGGAGGACAGTGAAGTTTGGATTTTAATTTATTCACTTTCTTGCTGTTGGCTCACTGAAGATTGGATGCTTTCCTCTATTGAAGGCCACAGATTCTGTTAGTTGACTTTTTCATCTTGCTACCAAGATGCCACGTTTTGGTAACTATTCCAACCTTTTGTCCTTTTAGGACTAGGGGTGATAACAGCTCCTTATTCTTGCTAGCCTGGAGGTACTGCACTATTCCAAAGTTATAGTTTGGCTGGGCCAGACCGAGTTTATACCCACCAACCTGGAATAATTTATTAATAGGGCTTCCTTTTACCCTCAAAAGTGGCAGTTTCAACAATAAATTATATGATTATTATTTATTTCCTTACTTATACTCTCTGTAAATAGTCCCTATTAAATTCCTACAATTACCCAGTTTGAGTGTGCTACTTGTTTCCTGGGGCCCCTGACTGATAGTTACTTATAGTAGTCATGAGAATGTCATCACATGAAGCCATCAGCTAACATTCCTTTCCTAATCTTTTATATCCACATGGTGGCATCATACCAGTTATGTAACTCTAGCACTGTAAACAGTGACACTTAAAGTTTCATTAAATTCTTTTAATTTTTTAGAAAAAGTTTCCTTGATCTTTACTGTGAAAGATGAGTCATAAGAAATTCTGCAATTTCCCTACTGCCCCTCAAATGACATCTCTTCCTAATAATAGCACCTGGCAGGATTTGCAAAAAAGCTATGCACCTATTGAACTCTATTGTGTAATTTGCTTCATAGTTTAGCCCTTATTGTTTATGGTTAAAATGGTCTTTTAAAAAGTGACCATTGTGTGAGTCAGGTGGTAGCCATTAGTTTATTTCTCATCTGGTGTGTTTGAGGCCCTTGAGGTGTCTGCTCTGTGGTAAAGCCCACTATACTCAGGAATGATCTCTGAGTTAAACAATCACCCAAAGTATTTCCTCTTTCAAACATAATAAGCCCCTAAAAGCATTTTGTGTGTCTCATTAAGGTCTACTTTCTTCCCATAGGGCCACTCAGGGCTTCTGAGAAAGTGCCACCTGAGAATTCCAGTCTCATGGTGGGGGTGGAGGGAGAAAGAAACAGAAAAGAAGCAAACTCTGGGAAGTTTGGGAAGAGGATAAATAGACAGCAAAGAATATGGAGTCCCAGAATTTGGTATGAGGCCCATTATGAGGTGGTACTATCACCTAGAAAAGATGTTGGTGACTCAATGATCTTGAGGTGTCAAAAAATAAATACTTTTTTTTTTTTTAAAGAAAAGATGTTGGGAGTTTAGAGCAAGAGGTTAGCAAATGACAGCTTGTAAGCTAAATTCTGCCTGCCTGTCTGCTTCTGTAAGTAATGTTTTATTGGAACACATCCATGCTCATGTTTTTCTACAGCATTGTCTCTGGCTGTTTTCATGCTGCAAAGACAGAGTGGAGCAGTTATGACAGAAACCATCTGGCCTGC